GTAGAGGCTGGGGATGGCCGCGGTCGGTGGGAAGGGATGAGGATGTGGGAGGGACGGCCGCAGCGGACTCAGCGCGATCGCGGGGGCGGGGTGTCTCCAGGGAGAGAGGCCCGGCCTTGCAGGAGGCTCCCAGGGGGAAAAAAGGTGGAGAGTCCGAGGAGAGCCCCGTCTCCACCCTATCCGGCCGCATGGGCCCAGCACAAAGTGACAGTTGCTATAGGCAACCAGCCAGAGTGACCAAGTGGTCCCGGTTTTCCTGGGATGGTTCGGCTTTAGGACTGAGGCATCCCTGGCCTTCGGCCCCCGCAGTGACCCTTTTCTGCCTCCCCTGCTCCCCTCCTTCTGGGGTGCCACCCCGATTAGACCTGGGACGCTAAAGGAGGCCTGGCCTTTTACACCACATGTTTTGTGTTAGGGTGAAGACACCTTCCACGACACGTTGCCAGCCAGACCCAAACATGCCGGTCCTTGTAAGGTAAACACTTCAGTGGGAGCCTCCCTCCTTTATAAAGGTAGGTAGAAATACAGGAGGACACTTTTTACTTTATCTTTGTTTTATAGAGAAGTCATATTTCTGCCCCTCTCTTAAACCCCAGGACTCAGAGGCTCAATTGGAATAGACATAGCTTAAGCTTTCCCATCAGTAGTCCATCATTACACTGAATAAATGTAGATAATTAATGCGATTGTAGTCACAGATGTTCTTTTTATTTATTTTAATATTTCTAACTCAGAAGCCTGCCGGTGGGACATCTGTTTGACCTAATCAGACGGAAGGATGAAAGCTTTACACAGGAACACCACATGAATGGAAGAGAACTGTCATCGTTAGTCTGTGGATTAGTCACCAATGTCTTCCCCAGTGTGACATGACTTTGAGGTGATAAATTTCAGCTGCTAAGATGTATCTTGTCAGCTTTTAGTTAAATTACAGAAAAGGCAGGGTTTATATTCTCTGTTATTGAACATTTTTGAGTCACATTGGAAAGGACAAGTATTTTTCATGTGGGTATAATGAGTTAATTCATCATATTATTTCGAAGGAAGAAAGTTGAATATCAGGTTATGCTCTTAGGGTATCACCACTAATATTTTATGAGTTGGAGGAAACTGAGTTCGTGGTTTTCTTTTCAATTTCATAGATACTGTCCCTAAGAAATTGATTCAAAATGTGGTTTCAAGAGGCATTAGCAATCAGACCTAATTCCAAGGAGCAATTAGAAATAGTCTTGGGGGGGAACCAGCAGTTAGCATAATGGCTATGTTGCCGGACTCCCACGTAGTCGACCGCGGTTCGCATCCCGGACCCAGTGGCTTAAACCTCACGCCGGGCGCGTGTGCGTGCGTGTCCAAGATCCCGAGAGGAGAATGGAGGAGAAGGGATTGCAGTATGACCATCCCCCCGAGGGGTGATTTCTCGCTTTCTGTCTCTATGTCTCTCTCTGTCTGTCTGGCGAGTGCACGCGCCCTATAGCGAAAACCTCTCCAAAAAAAAAAAAAAAACAGAAATAGTCTTGGGGGATAAGTAAAGTCTCCAATATGGACGTGCATCTTATATTTGCTATGTTTGTATTTTTGGTAGATGCAGACAGTACGGCACTCTGAACAGACACTCAAAACAGCTCTAATCTCAAAGAACCCAGCACTTGTGTCACAGTATGAGAAATTAGATGCAGGGGAGCAGCGTTTAATGAATGAAGCCTTCCAGCCAGCCAGTGATCTCTTTGGACCCATCACCTTGCATTCCCAGTCAGATTGGATCACCTCCCATCCTGAGGATCCCCAAGACTTTGAACAGTTTTTCAGCAATCCTTACAGAAGGACACCATCTCCAGAGAAACACAGTATTTATATACAGTCCATTGGTATGTACTGGTAATCTATGCTGGTTTGGGTTTGCTTTGCATAATGGTGCTCATCAGATAGTTTGGGTGGTTGGTCTGGGCAGTTTTTATTATTTATTAATTTTTGTATTTATGCAAAGGTTTTGTAATCAAATTGACTTAAAAAAAGAACATTTTGTTTCCTTGTAATTCATATTGACATCAGTGAATGCATTAAAAATGTAGAGTTTGTTTTAAAGCTCAAATTTCTAATTAATAGACTAAGGCAAAGATTGAATAGTTTAATCTCTGAAAGTTCTGCATTTACCCTTTCTTCCATATTACAGGATCTCTAGGGAACACCAGAATTATCAGTGAAGAATATATTAAATGGCTCAAGGGCTACTGTGAAGCATTTTTCTATGGCTTGTCAGTCAAACTCCTAAAGCCTGTTCCTGTTTCTGCAACAAGATGTTCCTTCAGAGTCAATGACCACACACAAAACCTTCAGATCCATGCAGGTGAATTAAACAGCTTTCTAATTTCAATCGAGTAAAGAAAATACATATACACAGCAAACACACACACACACACACACACACACACACACCCCTATACCTGAGGGGACTTCATAGAGTCCATGGAAAAACAGAATTAAAAGTATGATTTTATTTTGGTGTAAAAAATATTGAAATCTGTGCGTAGTTTTGTTTTGTTTTGAAGTTGTCAGAAGGCGTGAGTGCTCGCCAGAGAGAGACAGGCAGAGCAAGAGAAAGCATCTTCTAATGGGGCATGGTTATGCTTCAATCCCTTCTCCATTTTTCCTTCATTTTGGGATTGAGGGCATGCATGCACATTTACCTGCCATATTTTTCTTCTTAAATTTTTTTTGGAGATGTTTTTGCTAGAGGACGCATGTGCTCACCAGAAAGACAGAGAGACAGAGAAACAGAAAATGAGAAATCAACCCCTAGGGTGGATGGCCACACCTCAATCCCTTCTCCATTCTCCTCTTAGGATTTTGGGCATGCATGCACACACGCCCAGCCTAAGTTTAAGTCACCGGGTCCAGGACTGGAACCGTGGTCCGTCTACATGGGAGTCCAGTGACATAGCCATTACACCAACTGCTGGTCCTGACCTGGCATATTTTTCAAACCACTGGGACCAGGCTGGAATTGCAGCTCGCAGTTGGTAGGCCACTAGGCCTCAGGGCTGGCCCACGTTGTTGTTCTTGTTTTTAAAGATTTTCAAATTTTATTTATTTATTCATTTTTTTTTTAAACTTTTGACCAAAGAGATACACGTACAGAGAGAGAGAGAGAAAAAAAGAGAGAGGGAAAGTGAGAAAGCAAGCTACCAGGTCCACAGCTTGAACCGTGGTCAGCCATGCGGGAATGTTCAGTGCCTTAACCATCATGCCACCTGCTGGTTCCCCATAGCTTTTTCATAGTATGTATTTTCTAAGAACCTTTTGAAGACTCTGTATGTGTGCATGACTTATGTTTCCGTATACTTGCATATAACATGTACACATTTCTTTTCAAATAGGGCACATCCTGAACTTCTTAAAAAAGAGGAAACCTGAGGATGCCTTTTGTGTTGTGGGGATAACAATGATTGACCTTTATCCAAGAGACTCCTGGAATTTTGTCTTTGGACAGGCCTCTTTGACAGATGGTATTCCTTTTTTGACATTATTGGTAGAAACTTCCTCCATCCACTTGAGAATATTTGAAGGTGTTAAGAGGGAAAACAATTCCAACTAAGGATAATTTTGATATTGTAAAACTGTAGAGTGTTTCAGTGAGGTGTCAGCCGTGGTGTTAAGTGGGCTGCTAACAGAGTCTCATGCTCTGGGTTCCTGCCCAGTCAGCCGGAACCCATTCACTTCCTCCACAGCTTGAAGGTATTGATACCTACTTGACACTGTCATCTTGAGATCATTTACATCAGAAGTACATATATATGCCCGGCACATTTAGAGCCATTTACCACAGCTGGTAAATGTGAGTGATTTCATGGCAAGATGAGTTAAGCAAAGGTATCTGAGCTATCAGTATGTGTGGAAGTCTTGCTAGTTGTTTTTTCAGCCCTTCATTTTCAGCGTCATCTTGCATAGATGGGGTAGCCACAGCCTGATGTATAGTGTACGCCTTCTCATCCTGTGCCTTTTGATGTTTGGGTTTTCCCGTTTGCTTTTTTGCTTAAAGCCAACCTCAGTCTGTGATTTGAGATATGATAAACTCTGACTCATGAGGGACTCTGTGGTGATACTGAGAGTGGGAGAGGATCTGGAAACAAGTCATTTTTATCTGTCTGTATTTTCTTTTTGATCTCTCTCTACTCCTCTCTACCTTTATATGTTCTTATTTCTCTAATGTCACCCCTAGGATCTAAGGGCAGTGGGTCCTTAGCTTCCTGGGGTTGGGGAGTGAGTGCCAGGGGCTGGGTTGGGAGGGAGTGGTCTGTCTGGGTGGCATGTTAGCTTGAGGGGGGGGCGTTGGGTGGAGGGATTCTTCTACTAGGGATGAAGGCTGGTGGGACAAGAGAACCTCTTTTTCACAGCTACGCCTTCAGCCTCAGTTTATCCTTATAGTGTCTTGTGACCCACCAACAGGCTCTCTTGGAGACCTGGGTCACTACTGTCTTACTGATTTTTGGTGTGAGCTAGCGTTTTATTCAAAGTTCTTTTATTACTAACCTGACAAACATGGAGACATTCAAAATAACTTTAAAACAATTTATCTAGGTATTGGTAGCCAAGTTATCAAATGCACTTGAGGAAGCCAGGAAATGTTGCCCCAAACTGTGTCTGCTTTAGTTCTTTTTATTTTTGTAAGTTCCTAATACTGTATAACCTAAGAAAAGATGTAGTAGGCCATGAGGTGGCATAGTGGTTAAAGCAGTGGGTCCCACATTTAGAGCCACGGTTCGAGTCCTGGACCCGGTGGCATGAAAATCATGCTGGATGTATGTGTGTGCATGCCCAAAATACTGAGAGGAGAGTGGAAGAGAAGGGGTGATTTCTTTCTCCCTCTCTCTCTTATCACTCTCTGGTGAGTGCCTGTATCCTATGGCAAGAATCTTAAAAACAAAAAAGAGAGAAAGGAAAGGTGTGGTAATGTAGCAGAATAGTTCTCTGATTAGTATCTTACCACAGGTGGCCTTGGTTTCTTTACGTTTACAGAGATTCATGCTTTTACTTTTTGTTTGTTTTAATGCCAAAGTGTGCATGAGAAGGGAGAGAAAGCACCCTCCAGTAGAGCTCGGTCACACTGCGATCCTTGTGCCCCCAGTTCTCCATTTCGTCAGGACCCTGGGCACCTATGTACACACCCAGGTGTTCCCATGCCCCTGAGGCGAGAGGACTTGGGTTTCTGGTCAGCCGTGTGGGATCCAGCTCCCTCCACACATTACCGAACTGTGCTGTTATGGGACTGATGCTTTTAAACTGAGAAACATTTATTACCAAGAGAGAATCTTCTATTTGTAGGATTATTAGAAGAAAGAAATGTTCTTGCTAGAGTTATCGTGCTGAAATATGCCATGTTGTTTGGCCAGAGGAGGTCACCTGTGATACACGAATCGATTTAGTTTTCCCTTAGCTTCCAGAATGCTGGCTTTTTCCTAAATTTCAAATACCAATCTGTTGTTTCTGAGAGTGGCTGAGGAACATTCTTTTTTAGTTTAGTTAGATTGGACAAACTTATTATGTGTTAATTTCTTTACCAAAAAAACCCTGGTGATTACTTTAAAGTAACAGCTGAAGGGAGACAGAGATGAAAGTGATCGTGAAAACCCCTTGAGCTAATTATGCATGAAACTGTGTGTGCCATGCTTGCACAGGTGGTGATAGAGCTGTAGGTGGGACGCAGGGAGTCAGTCACGGGTGCTCATTCTGGACCCCGGACACCAGCTCCGTCACAGAACCGTGCTGTGCTTAAAAGGGGGCTGGGTGGCAGAGGCTGTTCTGTCTGAAGGCATTTTCTGAGCTATGGGCCTCAGGGCGCCGGGCTGGAACAGGGCAGTGTCCTCAGGGCCCTGCGAGGGCTGCCAGTGGCCCTGACAAGTGTGGTACAGAGATCTGTTCATTGTGTTTATTTCAAGAGTATAAGCAAGACTTCCTGTTGTTCATGTGAGCGTTTTTCATAGCCTCTATTGGAGGGTTTGATTTGGACTACTCAAGAAAGAGACTTCTGTTGTAGTTTTGGAAAACTGAGACTTTCAAGTGTTTAAGAATTTGACTTCTGATTCGTTGAGTTTTACCAGGGGGGGCAAATTGGATAACAACAGCAAAAGATGTCGGTAGGGAGGTCAGGACTGAAGCCCTCCTTCACTCTGGGGAACCTCTGGTGTGTCAGACTGTGTGAGCACTCAGCATAGGGGTGTCCTCACTGCCCAGAGGTCCTGCAGGCTTTGTTTTAGTTTTTGTCATAGGATGCATGTGCTCACTCGAGAGAGACAGAAGGAAAGTGAAAAATGACCGCCCGGGACATGGCCTCGCCATAGTCCCTTCTCTGTTCTCCTCTTAGAATTTCAGTAATACATGCACACATACCTGGTGTGATTCTCAAGCCACCGGGTCCAGGACTCCATCCATGGTCAACCCCATGGGAGTCCAGCACCTTAACCACCATGCCACCTGCTGCCCCTGGCAGGCTCTTTTTGGTCTTTCCTTCAGCACTCTTACTCTCCTTCTGTTGTCCTTGTCCTTTTGTTCTAGGTGTGGGGATATTCAGTTTTGCCAGGTATGGCAGTGATTTTTATAGCTCACACTATGAAGGCAAAGTGAAGAAGAAGCCTCAGAAAACTTCAAGTGACTATTCGATTTTCGATAACTATTATGTTCCTGAAATAACTGGTATTCTGCTACTTCGATCTTGTAAGGTGAGTCGTTTAGAGAAATCCTACAGAAGCGTTTTTTTTTTTTAAAGAAATCTTAATTCTCTAAATTACATGAAGGTTTTCCAAAAAGTTCAAGGAAAATGTATATTATGAAAAAACATGCATTTAAAAAAATTTTTGGACCACAATAAACTTGCACTATAATTCCATTTTTCTATGAACTCTTTGAAGTCATATATTGTCATTCCTATGGTAATACACCTGAGTTTGTATCATATCATTTGTATACTTTTGGTGGATATCCCTTGACTAAAATAATCTATATAAACAGAATTTAGGGTAGTTTCCATGACTTGGTAGCTGGGGCAGCCAGATCCTAGCTGGCTAACTGCAGTTTGTGTCCTGGATCTGGTGTCTTGAGAAACATGACAGGCATGTGTATGTACGTGTCCAAAGTCCTGAAGGAAGAGTTGGAGGAGAAGGGGTTGAGGTATGACCATTCCCCCTGCGGGGTGCTTTCTCCCCCTCCCTCTCTCTGTCTATCTCTGGTGAGCACACAAACCCTCTATCCAAAAAGAAAAATTAAAAAACAAAAAAAACCCAGAATTTTAAATAATAATTTTTTTAAAAAAGGAAAAAATCCCAGAATTTAAATGGTTACCTTAATATCGAAATTTATAACGTCAGTGCCAGTTTTTTGTCCTGCTGGATAAATGCAATCTTGACCGTACCTTGTCCTCACTGTTAAATCTGGTGTGAGTGGGTGACCTCCTCTTCCAAAAGCCTTGATCAAGTAAAGCTCCTTCCTGAGGCTTTGGAGGACCCCTGCCCTCTGGCATCTTCTTTGGGGTCCAGGCTACCCTTGACTAGTTGTGCCAACAGCTCCTGACACGCCCTACCCCTGCTCTTTGGAAATCCCGTCTCCCGTCTCCATAGCCAGAGACATAGACTTTCCCTTCTTCTGGAGGAGTTCTGCATTCACCAGCACTACCTGCAGGCTCTGAAAACCATCCCTCTTAGAATGTTTTCTAAGTATGTTCCATGGGCCTGTGTCCATGTCACCTGAAGTGCTCATTAACACATAGCTCAAGCCCCCTTTGCCCAGACCTAGGGAATCAGCATCTTTGGGGGCCTAGGGGAGACCCTGAGATTCTGAATTGTAACAAGTACCCCACTAGTCTAGAGCAAGGGTTCTCAATAGGGATTTTGCTGCCCTGGGGACATTTGGCAATGTCTGGAGATATTTTTTTTGGAGAGGTTTTTGCTATAGGACGCGTGCGCTCTCCAGACAGAGAGAGACATAGAGACAGAAAGCGAGAAATCACCCCCCAGGGGGGATGTTCACACCGCAATCCCTTCTCCTCCATTCTCCTCTTGGGATCTTGGGCACGCATGCACACGCGCCCGGCATGAGTTTAAACCACTGGGTCTGGGATGCGAACCGCGGTCGACTACGTGGGAGTCCAGCGACATAGCCATTACGCTAACTGCTGGTTCCCTGGAGATATTTTTGATGTCACAGTTGGGAGGGGGTTCTGCTGGCATCTACCAGGTAGAGGCCGGGGATGCTGCTGAACTTCTACAACACCCATCATGGAGTCCCAGTTCAGCATGCCAGCACCGTCGAGGTGAGAAACCCTAGTCCAGGGGAAGAGAGGAAGGGATATGTAAACTATTGGGGGAAATGGATTAAGTCTTCAAAGATCTGGTGATGATGGTAAGGGAATTGATTTCTGGAAATCTGTTTCTTGGAAAAGGTTGTTGTTGGTGATGGTGGTGCTATAAGCTTCAACCTGAATGTCTTGCAGACTTTAACCCATGAGATTGGACACATATTTGGACTGCGCCACTGCCAGTGGCTCCCCCCCCCCCCCAGGGCTCCAACCACTTGGAGGAGGCAGACCGGCGCCCTCTCAACCTCTGCCCCATCTGTCTGCGCAAGCTGCAGTGCGCTGTGGGCTTCAACATCGTAGAGCGATACAAAGTACATGGCACGGGCGGCGGGGGGACGTGGCCATTGAAGCAGCAAACTGACATTTTCTATTAGGTCCTTCTCTAGAGCTATCGTTTATCTCAGGAAATTAGAGTAAAGATAAACAGGAAGCTGTGGTTTGAAAAAAAAAATGCAAAGAAATACCCTTCTTAAAAACTTCATCTTGCCCATGAGTGATGAATACTTTAAAATTCAGTGAGAAACACTGGAAGACATTTCTCTGTTTCTCCTTCACTTAGGGCAAGAGAGTTAGTGCAGAACAGAATAAATACTATCACGTGTGGCACAGTGCATTTTTACAATGTGTGGATGTGATTTATCTTTTGAAATGTAGGACAAGGTATGTTCATCGGAAAGAAAGGATAATTTTCTGTAAGAAGGAAGAGGGAAAAGTAGCTAGTCTCAGTCTGTGAGAGGGCATGTGTGCCCACATGTGCCCACAGACATACCAAAACCAAAGTACAGTGACATGGCTGCTCAGTCAGGTGATTGTACATGTTTACACATGCGTCTTTACATGCCTATGCCAGCACATACACTTACATGTGTTCCCATGTACGTCAAATTAAAAGCACAGTGACATCCCTGTGGAATGTTTAGCATGTAGAGAAAAGAAAATACTATCTTACTACCCTGAAAGAACAGTATCAAGAGTTAGTATATTTCTTTTTCACCTTTTTTCTATGTGTATTTTAGACCATAGATTGCAATTAGAGTTTGTGTATTTTTGGCATAGGCTGTGTCACTCAGTATGTCCTAAGTGTGGCTTCGTATTCATAACCTTGTTTATCAAAGGCAACATCTTCACGGGTGATGTCCCTATCTAGAGAACCGGACTTGAAGAACCCTATCTAGAAGCCAGTGTTTCTCTGTTGTCTGAAACTGCTATGCTGTGATTTGTTAAAATCTTTCCTGTCTTTCAAGGCGCTGGTGAGATGGATCGATGACGAGTCTGCTGCCACACCTGGAGTGACTCCAAAGCATAGTCGTGAGGATAATGTGAATCTGCCAAAACCCATTGACGCTTTTAAGGAATGGAAAGAATGGATAATAAAATGCCTTGCTGTCCTCCAGAAATAAGGACCTTCAAATAGGAGCAACTAAAATAAATACTTGCATATCATGCTTTTATTTGGGTGAAATACTTCATTGGAATAAGTCGTTCACCGATTCTGTGCTATGTCAGCTGCTAAAGCTGCTAAACGTCACTATAAGCTGTTGCTTCCTTCAGGGAGAAGCTGAAATGATCCCTGATCACAAAATTGAAATGAGGCTCATTTTGAATAATGAAAAACTCTATAAACTCTTCATCTTGTCTTCCTAGCCTGATCTGGCATGGAGCACATCATTTCCATTCTTCAAATAAGCTTATGTCTCATAGGAGAGCTAGGGCTGGCAGTAACTGGCAAGTAAGGGAATACTTGAAAAATAGCTGTGTATGTTCCAAAGAACCAACTAACCTAATTCCAGGAGATCGTTCAGTTTTTAGAAGAGATGTTCCCCCTCTGTTAGGCCCAGCCACGTCAGGAAATTTGATGGGCTCAGATCTTCTCCATCCATACCTTTCATTGTCCAAGAGCTTTTCCCAACTATCTTGGGGTGTTCTGCCCTTTTTTTCCTTGTTGGTTATCAGTTTATCCCTGAAAGAAGCAACAGCTTATGTCAGCTGCTTAAAATTAACCTCAAGGGGCCAGCAGGTGGTGTGGCTAAGGTACTAGACTCCTATGTGACTGAATGTGATTTGAGTCCCAGTCTCGCTGGGAGTGTGTGTGTGCATGCTCAAATTCCAAGAGGAGGATGAAGGAGAAGGGACTGTAGTGTGGCCATCTCCCTTTGGGGGTGTGGGGGTTTACACTCTCTTTCTCTGTCTCTGCCAGGCATATTCAAAAACCTAAAGCACATCAAAAAATTAACCTCAAAAATCAGGCCAAACACATTTTATGTTAGTATTTATTTAGCAATCGTCACCTAAGTGTTGCGTATAACTAATTTCACATTGTCTACACTTTTGGACAATTTCTTGGGGTTAAGATTAAATACAACATTGTCGTAGAAAAGGTTGGATGCTGTGGCCCAGCAGGCTGGGAACACCAGGGAGGCCCAGGTTTTATTCCTGGTCCTCCTGACAAAGAAGGGCTGGACCAGGGTTTGAATCCTAGCCCAAGGGCTTAAAAAACAGCACGGGGGCTCCTGCAGGAGCCCAGGATCCTGACTGGATGGAGGACTGGAGAAAAAACGATTACTGTATGGCCTGGTGGCCAGGCCCTGTTGAGGGTTCTCTGGCTCTCTGTCCCTACACTTGGTATTATATCTATATATACTGGGCTCATTATGTTGCCTGTGACCCCTGGAGGTTGAGGTAAGAGGGACTTGCTCTGTCAGGAGTCCTTCCTCTGTTTTTTTTTTTTTTTCTTTCCAGGTTGTCAGAGATCAGGAGCACTCCCTGGACAGACAGAGAGGCAAGGTGCCCCCTTCACCCTGACCCCTGTAGGGCACTGTCAAGCAGCTCTCCCTTCTCTTCCATTTCTCCTTCCTGTGGGGGATTTTAGGCATGGCCCCTGGCCTATTTTCAAGCCCCTAGATGGGTTTGAAGGCTACCAGCCATGTGGGGTCTGACTTTCCTTTACCACCAGTCCAGGCTACTGGAAGGCCCAATCTTAGCCTAAAAATAAAATTATTTTGAAACTCACGCCGGGCGCATGTGTGTGCGTGCCCAAGATCCTGAGAGGAGAATGGAGGAGAAAGGATTGCAGCGGCGTGGCCATCCCCACTGGGGCGTGATTTCTCGCTTTCTGTCTCTCTGTCGCTGGCGAGCGCACGCACCCAATAGCAAAAACCTCTCAAAAAAAAAAATAAAATTATTTTACAGTAACACACAAATCGAAGCAGAGTTTGCTCTGCAAATGCTGATGGAACAGGGTGTTGAACTAGCAAGAGAATTCCTAGGTTTCCACGTCTGAATCCCATCTTAGAAATAAGCGCATTTTGAAAGGCTTGCTCGTATCCTGATCCTGTCCCTCAGCGCCCAAGGAGTGTCTGTGCTAATCTGGGGAAAGATTAGATGTTGACATTTCAGTTCGCAAAGACTTTTCACGGCGAGAGTCAAACAGCAGAACTTGGCAAAGATTATCCTTCGCTTCTTCTCTAGCTTGTTTTTCAAAGTGTCGCTTCCCTGGTCTGAAATTCGTCCCAGTTTGCAGCCCTCCGAGGTGGTGGGGGTGTAGCGGGGAGGCGGCGCTGTCGTTCTCTCCTCCGAGCAGGCAGCTGCGGGGCCGCTATAACTGGCCCTGAGCGGGCCTTTCGGAGCAGGAAGCGCGTCGCTGTCCCCGGCTGCGTCCAGGCGTTTGGTGATTGGCAGCTGGAGCCGCCCGCGCGCCACCTGTTTCCGCCCCTGGGACTTCCCCGAGCTGGGCTCTGAGCGTGGAGCGGGCAGCCCGGCCTGCCCAGGAGTCAGGGCCCGGGGTAACTCCTGCACCGCAGCCTTCCGCGCAGGCCCGCCCGGCAGGGCCCGCGCACCACGTGGGCCGCGCTCTGCGCAAGGCCTTGGAGACTCCGAAAGGCGACCCCAGCCGAGCAGTGAGTGCAATCAGCCCTCCCGTGGAGCATTTTAACAGTGCTTTGTGTCAGCGTTCGGGTTTTAGACACTTCCTAGATGCTTCTACCTAGAGCAGCACCGTCCAATCGAAATCCAATCCAATCCAAGCCATCGAGATTAAGTTAACTTTTTCTGGTAGCGGCCTGAGCAAGTGCAAGAGGAAGGAGAGAGAATCGATTTTGAGCGTATATTTTATTTTATCCAGTGCATCCAAAACATTAAGATGTAATCAGTATGAACCCTAGGCTTCAATGTGGTGTTTTCTCCTCCATAGTGTTCAGATTCTGGAGTGTCTCTTGCTTTCGGCACATCAGGTCTGATTGGCCACATCTCAAGTGCCGGATATCCCCTGTGGCTTGTGCCTCTTGTTCTGGACAGCACAGCTCCAGGTCAGCCCCAGTCTGTACGTACCCACCGGGTCGGGTTTATAGGGAGAAACCTTCATGGAAGTTGACTAGCAGAGCACAGTGATGTTCAAGTTGAGAGGGCCTCAGCACTGAGCCTTTGACCTGTTCTCTGTCATGCCGATTGTTTTATTACAGTCTCCTCTCATGACCAAGGGCCTGGGATGTCCTTTGACTGCATTTTCAGTTTTAAAAGGTGGAGTTGTCAAGTGTTAATAATAGGAAGACCGTACAGTCCATTTCCGTGGTTGGGTGAGAAAACAAGCTTGTGGTCGCTAAGTCAACGTGTGTGTAGTTACACCTAGGGTAAATCTTCCCAGTTCTGAGTTCTGCATTGTTGTTTTTGTTTCTTTGCTTTAGATTTTTGCCATAGGCCTTGTGTGCTCCCTGGAGAAAAAGGGAAAGTGAGGTACAGTGAGAGGGAAGTAAAAAATCACCCCACTACAGGGAAGGCCATGCCACAATCCCTTCTCCATTCCTCTCTCTTGAGATTTCGGGCATGCCCTCACACTTGACAAGCGTGAGTTTCAAGCCTCCAGGTCTGGGACTCGAACCACTGCCAGTCATATAGGAATCCAGTACCTTAACCACTACACTGCCTGCTGACCTTGAACTGTTTTTAACATGACTTCACAGAAGTAAAATACCATCAGCCAGAAACCCAATCACTTTTTTTCAAATTGCTTATTGAAGTGGTTCTGAGATGATTCTTTCTTTCAATTTCTTTTTGTGTGGAGCCATCTGGGGTTACTCAGAGAAATCGGTCTTTGTATATCTGCCTTAGCACCAAAAGAAGAGAAGGGCGATATCCAGAATAGCCATGCCACTAGTTGAGGCATTAAAAGAAAGCCTCATGCAAAACAACGTGGGCTGGAAAATAGGTTAAGGTACAACAAAAGCTGCTCAGGAAATACATTAAAACTCACAGCTGTCCCCTCGCCTACCTACCTAGTGTTAAATTCTTTCCACTGCTCCCTTAGCCTCTGCTCATGGACGGCTGTTTCTTCCTAAGCTCACTCACCCATGAGGACCCCGCTGCAGGGCACTTTGAGACCTGTCCTTGGCAAGCAGTAGATTTAAAGCAATGGCATCCATAGCGTCATTGCACCAGACTCTTGAGCCTGAGTCGTAAATAGATCCCCTCCCCCGTCTCTTGTGTAATTAAAGGAAGGAAAAAAAGGTCAATGAAAAATGAAGAACTCATTCATGTATTTTTACTCATTCAACACTATTTATAGAACATCACTGAGCCTTGGGGATATAACCATGAATGAAAATTGCTACCCTAATGCCCTAGTGGAAGAGACGGATAATCAAGGAGTGAAGAAATGCCTTTTTAACATAATGCCAGAGTACAGGGATAGAAGTAAGAGCTATCTGGGATGGGGTAGTCAGGAATGGTTCCTGAGAGAGGTGATATTTAGAGGTGACCAAATTGAAGGGTCACACTGTGTGCATTTTTTTTTTTTTGAGAGGGTTTTTTTTCACTATAGGGCGCGTGCGCTCGCCAGACAGACAGAGAGACATAGAGACAGAAAGCGAGAAATCACCCCCCAGGGGGGATGGTCACGCCGCAATCCCTTCTCCTCCATTCTCCTCCCGGGATCTTGGGCACGCACGCACACGCGCCCGGCGTGAGTTTTAAGCCACCAGGTCCGGGACACGAACCGCGGTCGACTACGTGGGAGTCCAGCGACATAGCTATTACGCTAACTGCTGGTTCCCACAGTGTGTGCATCTTGAAGGGGAAGGTGTGCCAGGCAGAGCAAACCACCAGTGCTGAGGCTGGAAGCTTGGGCACAAAAGAATAATTCAAAGTGAGACCAGCAGATGGCGTAATGGTTACGTTGCTGGACTCCCTCCTAGTTAACTGCGGTTTGAGTCCCGGACTCGGTGGCTTGAAACTTAAACCAGACGCATGTGCCTGCGTGCCCAAAACCCCGAGAAGAGAACGGAGGAGAAGGGATTGTGGTGTGGCCCTCCCTCCTGGAGGATGATTTTCGCTTTTTGTCTCTCTGTCTCTTCAGAGAGTACACACACCCCATAGCAAAAATCTCTAAAAAAAAAAAAAAACTAAGATAAAATTAAAAGAATAATTCAAAGCATAAGAAAACTAGTAGCAGGAACGAGGGAGAGAGTGACAGCACCAGGAGGTTCACGCAGGGCCCGTGGCTAAGAATCTGTCTGATTTGAGCTTCAAAGGATTATTGAGGCTGCTACGTGGCAAGTTGAGGCAGGGTGGTGTGACTGTTGTCACGATCCAGCTGAGACCGTATGGCTTGGATCAAGGGAACAGGTGGGGTTGCAAAAGCAGTTAGGTTCTGGAGATACAAATATATATAGCTTATTTCTTTTTTTCATGAGCGAGGGAGACAGCACCCCCAACAGGGTCTTGATGCCGCCATCCACCCCCAGCCCAGCCAGCCCTGGATTGTAGGAAGCACATGGTCCTCTGGACGTGCACCCAGAAACTTCCCATGTGGAATTGCCTTGCAGGGTGTGTTTACCGCTGTGCCCCAAGGGCGTTCCAGGTTCTGGATGTATATACTTAGAAACTAGAGTCAATTGGATTTGCATGTGAGGAGCCAGAGGACAGGGCCCCGGGGATGGGGGCTGGAGGGTGGAGGCTGAAGAGAAGGACCCAGAATTCTGCTGGGACACCTGAAGTTGGAGATGCCCAGCTGATAGCCCCATGTTGCCATGTGGACATAGCTAAGTTTCAGGGACAAGGAGCGGACAAAGGATGGGTGTCATCAGCCTTAGAGGAGATACTTAAAGTTTTGGCTGAATTCTAGAGCAGGACGTTGCCAGGGTAGTTCGTATGCTTTGTTCTTAAGTTACAGGAAAGGCACGTACGTGATATAAATACAGGGCCACACTTGGTATCTTCTCAGAATCATTGGTGAAGTGCCGTTGGTTATCAGGGTTACCGTGTGATCCACCCTCTAGGAAATGAATGCGCACTGAACTACGTTTGATTTGGGTGTGAGAGTTTCTACAGAAAAAGCCACGTTGCCAGTTCCACACCACTTTTGTTGTGTCGCACCTCTAGAGAGTCATTACGGACACTGAACACTAGAGGGACCTAGTTTCCTTCCTTAAACAGGGCGGCCAGTCCACCTGTCTGATAGGTCACCCTCATTTAGGGCTTTAAAGACAACTTCTGTTTTCTCAGTGCAGGGTATACTTACAGGAGTGGCCTGTTAGTGCGTACCATGTCTGAACTGTCTTTAAATTTGGCCATCTTAGCTAACGTTCACAATCATTTAAAATTTTAGAGGCAGTAGTGTCTATAACTCTAGATTCCTTTTAGGGAGCCTCATGTGAGTTTTTTTTTTTTTTTTTAAATAAAGATTATGATGATTTGTGATCTAGAATATTTGGAATGGAGTATGGAAATTTATAATAAATACCTCTAGGTGACTTGAATCTGGGCCATGGCTTAGAATGCATTTTCTACTTTATCATCAGGTGTTAAGCTAACAGAAAGGCAAATATGTGTACAAAAGCTGTATTTCATGCTATTGGAGTGTACAATGGACAGCTTTTGTTGAAAGGCTTGCAGATATGTATCAGCTTGCATCTCTCTTGGAAGGGCACATGATCTTAACCCGTATTTACAACTGGGATCATTTTACATTTTGGAGGAAAACAATCTGCATTTGTACTCAAACACTAAATCAGGCTCAAAGCAGAATCCCTTTAATCACAGGAAATGAAGACTGGTAATTTATGAATAAATGTGTTACCAGTGGTTTGATTTTTCCTGTTTTGGGCACCTATAAGGTAAGAAACACTTTGACCACAGTGATCATTTTCTATTGCAAGACCATCAGTTTTCAGAGTTAGGCCATGCGGGGGTGCTAACCTGTCCTAGCATCACAGAGGTATGTAGCAGGCCCCCGAAACTACAGACCACGGGCTGAATCCAGTCTGTTGCCTTAACAAAATCTATTTTTTTAAATCAATAGCCTTTGAGCTAATAATGGTGTTTATATTTTTTATGTAATGGGAAAAAAAATAAGAAGAACATTTTATGTGTGAAAATTTATGGATTCAAATTTAGTATCCATGTATAAAATCTCATTTAAACCCTGCCATGCTCACTTACTTCTATGTTGTCTAGGGCTGTCTTTGACCTACAGTGGCAGAGTTGAATAGTCATGACAGAGACCTTGCGTGACCTGCAAAACTTTAAACATTTGCTCTCAACCTTTATAGGAGAAGTTTGCCAGCCCTGGCAGGGAGAGTCTGCACTATTTACTTAAAGGTTAGAGGAGATCTTAGGGCTCGTCTGTAACTGAATATAGACAGTCTTAAACTATTTGCCCTTATTACCTTTGATAGCCTTACTCTGTGGCGACTGTGCTTCATTCATGTATTTTTCATTAAGAAATTAAGTTCAATCACAGCCACTCAAATTATTCATTTTAATTCTTAGCTGAAAGTATGCGTTTTCATTTGATTACACTCATACTTTTATTTCCCTCTCCTGTTAGCCATCATTTAACATGTCCCTTGAATTATTTAGTTATTTCCTAAGGTGCTTTAAAATAATTTGTATAAAAGAGTCAATATAAAATACAATTGTCCTGTTTTCCATGATGGAAAGAAAGAGAGAACTAAGTTCAATAGAGTCTGCTGGGAAGCTTTGTGTTTCTAATAAAGTCAAAAGTTTTTTCTTTTAATAACGTATGTACCCATTAGGCTCAACATTTTTAAGTCAAGTTGGGAATGGTTTCTAATCTAGAGTCAGAAATTTACTCTAGTAGTTGTTAAATTTTCTTGGATATTTGCCTTTTTCCTTCATTTTAAACAAAATTTTCTACTTTTTAAATAATTATTTTTTTTAGTATTATTATTATTATTATTTTCAATTTTCTATAGGGCATGTGTGCTCACCAGAGAGAGGGAAAGTGAGAAAGCAAGTTGCCAGGTCTAGGACTTAAACTGCGGTTGGTCATGTGGGAGTTTAGCACCTTAACCACCATGCCGCCTGCTGGCCCCTCTACGTTTTTACCATCATTGGGATATGTATTATCATCAATGATAGATAGGTTATAATTTGATAGTGTTCAGTTTTCTCTTGTTTTAAATGTTAATTTTTGACAAAATTAAAATTGAAATATACAGAATTGAAATATACAGAAAAGCAGAACTTTTCTTTTTTTTTTTTTTACCTTTTTCTGTCTGTCAAATATTTCTTCTCCTTGCACCTCACATGCACTCTCCACATCCACCTGCTTTTTGCCACCCACTTTCCCCCTTATAGACTCTAGGATCCACACCCATCCTCTCACTGTCACATATTCAGATCTCTCAACCTCTGCCATAGACACTCAGTACAAATTGAGTGGAGATATACAATGTGTACCTTTCAAAGTCTGGCTCACTTTGCTCAATATTAAGTCTTCTGTATTCACCTATTTTGAATCAAGTGACAGGAGCTCATCACTTCTTATAGCTGTATAATATTCCATACCATATATGTACCACAGTTTTTCAACCCAGTTATCAGTTTTTTGACACTTAAGTTGGTTCCATATTAGCAATTGTGAATTGCTAAACATAGGTGTGCAAGTTTCTTTCCAATGGAGTGTTTTCCTATTGCTTGGGTATTTACCAAGAAGTGGGATAACTGGATCATATGGAAGTTCTACTTGTAGGTTTTTGAGAAGCCTCCATATTGTTTCCCACAGAGTTTGGACCAATTAATATTCTTACCAGCAGTGTAAGCGGGTTCTCTTTTTCACCACAGCCTCACTAGCACTTGTCATTCTTTAATTTCTTGATCCGAGCCATTCTAACAGGGGTTAAATGGAATGGTACCTCATTGTCATTTTAATTTCCATTTCTCTTATGACAGAAAACTTTGAACATTTTTTCATATGCTTCCTGATCATTCATAAGTCTTCCTTAGAGAGTTGTCTGTTCACTTTGTTTGCCCATCTTTTAATTGGATTATTCACTTTTTTTTTATGAGTGAATTGCTTGAGTTCCCTATGTATTTTGGGTATCGATTGCTTGTGTAAGAAATAATTTGCAAATGTTTTCTCCCATTCCAAGGGTTGTATTTTCACTTTAATTATTGTTTCCTTCACTGTGAGAAACCTTTGTAGCTTGATGTAAACAAAGTGGGATTGCTTGTTTAGTTTGGAGACTATCATCTGTGCTTTAGAGGTCCTCTATTTAAGAAATCTTTGCCTATTCCAATGTCTTCAAAAACTTACCCTATAGGGGCTAGCAGTTAGTGTAATGGCTATGTCACTGGACTCCCACGCAGTCGACCATGGTTCGAGTCCCAGACCCGGTAGCTTAAACTCACACCGGGCGCGTGTGCGTGCGTGCCCAAGATCCTGAGAGGAGAATGGAGAAGGGATTGCGGCGTGGCCATCCCCCCTGGGGGGTGATTTCCTGCTTTCTGTCTCTCTGTCTCCCTCTGTCTGTCTGGTGAGTGCACGCGCCCTACAGCAAAAATCTCTCAAAAACAAAAAACAAAAAACAAACAAACAAACAAAAAACACCTTCCCCTGTATCTTCTACTAATAGTTTTGTAGTTTGAGGCTTTGATCCATTTTGAGTTGATTGTTAAAGTCAAAAGATTTTACAAAAGTTTAAAAAATTACTTGAAATAAACCTTCCTTGAGCTTTTTAAAGAATTATTTATCTGGGACCAGCAGATGGTGTAATGGTTACATTGCTGGACTTCCACAGTCAACCGCTGTTCGAGTTCTGGACCTGGTGGCTTAAAACTCATGCTGGGCACATGTGTGTGCATGGAGAGTGAAAAAGGGATTGCAGTGTAGCCACTCCCTGAGATGGGGTGATTTTTTGCTTTCTGTCTGTCTGTTCTGTCTCTCCAGCAAGCACACATGCCTTATAACAAAAATCTCTCTCTCAAAAAAAAGAAAAGAATTATTAATCTATTTAATTTTATTTGTTATTATTTTTAAAAATTTTGAACAGAGTCAGAGAGAGAAAGGGAAAATGAGAAAGCAAGCTGCCAGGCCCAGGACTCAAACCATGGTCAGCCATGTGGGAGTCCAGTGCCTTAATCACCATGCCACCTCTTGGTCCACCTTCCTTGAGTTTTTATAACTTTAATTGAATCAAACGATGAATGCTGTAAGAGTCATTAAAAAATTATGGACAAAAATCAGTCTTTTTAAATAAAAAAGCCATAAATTTATTGCAAATCTAGAAGTACCAGAATGTCACTAATACAGAACAAACCAGCAACCATGTTTTCATTTTCTCCTAAACATTTAAAACCTTGATTATTGACATACTGAAATTGGCGTACATTTTTTTTTCATGCAGTTAACAGAATGGACATAGAGCAGATCCCTCAGAAATCAGGTATAAATATTAAATTGTATTGAACATTCATAGTAAAAAATATGTTGTAAAGTGCTGAAGTCATGTAAGTCTGCAAAACTGTCACAAGCTCAGAGTTCTGAAGCGGTGACAGAGATTTGCTACATCCACCTTGTTTTAGGTGTGCCTGCTTTTGACACTTTGTCATTTCCTCCCCAAAGTGTTAAAGATTGTCCTATTTCTATGGCTGATAAAATGCTATACAAAATGTAGCAGGTGGTGATAAACTATGCCACTTTCATTTCAGTGCAGAGAAAGATTCAAGCTTGTGTGTACCTGTAACCAAACTAGGCTTGTTATATTTTTCCCCCTGAGTTGTCATAAATTAACAGTAAGATGAATAAAGACGGAGCAGCGAGCATTGACCAGCAGTGAGAGTCGGTAAAGGAGGCGAAGAGCTAGCTCACCTATTACCCTCACACTGGCCCTCTACAGAAAACCGCTAAAATGAGAAATACTATATGTGTAGTGTAACTCCAGAAAAAGCAGTGACCTGTTACCTGATACCTAGGGCAACTTAGAACCATCAAGTCACGGTTCATATAAGACATAAATTATTATTTGTAATTCGTGATGGTAACATGAATGTCTCTGTGACCCCTGTGTGAAATACAGAGATGTTTCAACATTTAGATGTTTTTAAAAAAAAAAAAAAATCAGAAGTGCTTTAATAGTTTGATTACAAAAAAGTAAGAAATGCTTCAACAAGTCATTGAACTATAATTCTGAACAGAAGATCCTCAAGTATTCTTAGGTGATAAAACACATTATTTTTAAAAGCTATGGCGATTTGCTCTTCATTATTTTTTTCCCCTTTAAATACCACATGTTGCCTTTAATCAATGTGAAGAATCATTACAACTTGGCCTTTCATGAGAGTAACTTAAGAAGATAAGCATTCTTTAAAAGATTGCATAAAGGAACTAAAATGCTACGTATATCTCAGATTTTATTTCTTTTGATTACTTTAATCATCTTAGAATAACTTAATAATAAATAGTGGTTTAAATTAAAGACACTACAATCATATACTTCTGAGTGATTAAAAGCAACAGGAAGCACATTTTTGAATGCCATTTTGTATATCCGATATTAAAATACTTCTGGTCAAAACTGGCCATCAAAAGAAGTGGTAATCTTCACATTTATGAAGTTCAAGTTACATGTATAATTAAAATTTTTATTTGTTAGTCAAATGTTTGGTCTTACTGTGCTTCGCTTCCATGCAATATTTGGAAAATTCAGAGGCCACAATTTGTTAATGAAAACCTCAGTCTTTCTTAAAAGGGTTTTAAAAATTATTCCTATTTCTGAAAATTAGACCATTTTAAAATGATTGAACTTTGTTTTTTTGGAATGGCTAATTTCACCTCAGTAACCCGGCCTACATGTCATTACATGACATCGTAGTTTACCACATACGAGCACTGAAAACTGCTCGGCCAACCCATGGGCTGACAGCAGTTGTCCCTCGGTACCCGTGGAGCTTGGTGTCAGACACCTCAGCCAGCCACCACGGATACCAGATCCACGGATTCTCACGCCCTTTATGTAGATGGTATATTTACATGTAGCCTACACAATCCTCCCAGATTATTTTAAAGTCATCTCAGCATGACATATAAGGGAAAAGGAAAATAAACAGACAAACTGGTTTGGCATCTGTCTTTTGGGGAGCTACCCCCCATTTCATAACCATGGGAGTTGCCTGGCTACATATGCTACATTGGTTGAATCCGAGGATCTGGGGGGCCAGCTGCATTTTAATACTGGAATGTGAGCCAGAGCCCTCCTGGGGAGCTTTGTATTGCTACTGAATCCAGCCAGATTAATATGTGGGAGAATGGTTGTCTCTGTTTGGGCTTAAACAAGCAAAAAGGAAAACTTAAAAGAAGAAAGAGATGTTGGTAGAACTGTTGACATAAACATTCCCTTTAAGACGTAGTTTTTGCAAGTGGGTAGAGTGGTCAGCTCTCCTGCCTCCCTCTGTTCTCCTAGTCCCAACCCAGCCCACACAGTGGCTGTTGTCATAGCCAACATCTCATACTGGCTCCGTCTTCCCATGGACTCTATGCTCATTTTTCCCAAGATCCATTTCCAGAAAGTCTTCAGGGATGTCTTGTAAAGCCTTCCCACGATGGCTCTCCACCTTGGTTTCACCTACATGGTGACGTCGGCACAGTCCCGTTTTACAAGGTCTCACCAGGGCGAGGCACACGGCAGCCATGGCCATGCCGGCAGCACAGGAGTAGAAAGCCCTGCTGTACACCTTGCTGTGGTCCACCAGCAGACCTGGGAGGAAGTGGCAGCATCGTCAGCCTCGTCACTGCAGACGGAAACCCTCACACCCCGGCACCCATCAGATTCAGAAACCTTTGCTTTCCTTGCTTTGCTTTCCTTCCTTCCTTCCTTCCTTCCTTCCTTCCTTCCTTCCTTCCTTCCTTCCTCCCTCCCTCCCTCCCTCCCCTTCCCTTCCCTTCCCTTCCCTTCCCGTCCCTTCCTTCCTCTCTTTCTCTCTCTCTCTCTTTCTTTCTTTCACTCTCTCTCTCTTTTTTAATATTTATGTTTCTTATGAGTGAGAGACAGGAAGAGAGAAACTGAGAGACAGCACTCCCAACAGTCTCAATGCTGCGATCCACCCCCAGCCCCAGCCAGCTCCAGATCTCAGATACATGTGCCTGCTATACTCAGGTAGACCTCTGGACCCAGACCTGGCCTGCTCCTTCCAGCCTCACAGAAGGTTGTGTTTTAGCACTGTGCCACTGCCCACCCCCTTATATTCTTCTTTTTTTTTTTTAAAGAAAAAAAAGGAGTTGAAAGCAAAAACTTTTGCTAGGCTGGAGAAAAGAAACAAATTGTACAAATATACAGCATATTTTGCACCTGAGGCACTTAAGTTGCTAACTTGCTAGGGCCAAATCTGTCCTAGCAAAGCATCTAAGCCATGGGACAGTGAGTCGTGTGCTTCTTTGAAAAGATAATATTCTTCAGTAAGGAAAGAGCTGTGTTATTTTCATTTGTTGTCACTTCAGGTATCTTTCAGCAGGGGTAGGCTTTCTAATCACAGAAACTTCAAGGACTCATTTCAGATCTAAGATAGGAAACTTACCTATGTCCCTTTACTAAGAGATAATCTGTCCTGATCAGTTAAATATTTACAGGGTGTTGTCAAACACCTTTCCTAAGAAGGGAACATGATTTATAGAAATCCCTTACTTCTATTATTCTACACATCAGATAGATTATAAAGATCTAAAACCCAGGGATTCTCCTCTATCATTAGATAAGGCAAGATGATGGGACAAGCCTGGGGCAACTTGGTCTGCACTCACAGGTTCTGATCCTGACCCGGTCACTAATTCACTGGATAGCCTTCAGGTTAAATCCTTTGCTCTCTAGTTCCTTATATATATTTTTCCCTTCTTTTTTTTGAAAACCTATTCGTTTACTTTTTTGGTGAGCGAGAGACAGAAATGGCAACCCCCCCCCCCCCCCCACACCCACACACCACCTCAACACCAGGATCCAC